CAGTGAAATCTCTCTGGGTAGATAAACCACACTTAGGCAGGCCCCTGGCCCAGCAGTGGATGGCCAGCACAAATGGACTCAATGGTGGTTTGAGAGATGTTTTGTGTTTGAGCATTTTTTTTTACCTACTTATCTCTTGTGTTTTTAAGTTATTTCGTGTGTGTGTGTGTGCGTGTGTGTGCGCGTGTCTGTTTTTTTGGTGGTTGTCTGGTGTGTGTGTGTGTGTGTGTGTGTGTGTGTGTGTGTGCGTGCATGCATGTGTATGTGGTTGATGTCTGGTATCTCCGTGTGTGTGGTTGATGTCTGTTGTCTTCGTGTGTGTGTGTGTGTGTGCGCGCGCGCGTGTAGTTGATGTCTAATATCTCCAAGTGTGTGTGTGTGTGCATGTGTGTGGTTGATGTCTGTTATCTGTGTGTGTGTGTGTGTGTGTGTGTGTGTGTGTGATGTCTGGTGTCTCACTGAACTGGAGCCTACATGTGACTCCATAAACGGCGCCTGGGGCTCTGGACTTCCCTCCCGTTGCCCAGCAGGCATTTCACCCCTGGCCCCTGGCCGTCTCCCCAGCTCTGCTCTCTCCTTAGCTTTCTCCATTTATTCTGTATCTTTTTTTAGAAAATAGGGTCTTATGTAGTCCAGGTTGGCCTTGAATTTTTTTATGTTTTATTTTAATTTTGTTAGGTATTACACACACCTTTAATATTAGCAATTGGGACTTGAGGCCAGACTGATCTATACAGTGAGTTCCAGACTGGAAAAGGCTATATAAGACCCTGTCCTCAAATTTTTTTTTTTTTTTTTTTTTTTTTTTTGTGGGAATGGGGGCATGGCCATACAGTGGCACTTTTTTATTTGCCAAGTCATCTTCCTGACTGGACCTGGAACTTAAGTTTTGTCTTTTATGTTTTTGTTTGTTTGGTTGGGTAGTTTTTTTGGAACTTATTTTTAATTGTGTGTGTGTCCAAGTGCAGGTACCCACAGGGTCCAGGTGGTTGGCATGCCTGACGGGTGTGCTGGCAATGGAGCTGATGTCCCTTGGAAGAGCAGTAAATGCCCTTACGTGCTGAGCCGCATGTCCAGTCCCCTGACCAGGAGCTTCAGCTCCCTCACCTACCAGCCCATGATTATAACATCCCTGTCTGTGCTGCTGGGAATCCAGCGCAGGACTCAACTAACCAAGCTCCATATATCTCCAGCTCCAAGTGCTTTATTTTTATATTAAAAATGGAATTGGACTCCCCAGGAGGAAAACAAAAATAGGAACCAGCTAAATCACCAAGTATGCTCTGTGTTTATTGAGTCTTTTCCCCTGCCAGTCACCCCTAGTGACTGAGACTAGAGTCAGTCTGAGCCGGCAGGAACTTTGTTGTTTTGAGACAGGGTCTCGCTGTGTAGCTCTGGCTGTCCTGAACTCACTACTTAGACCAGGTTGGCCTTGAACTCAGAGATCTGCTTCCCAAGCACTGGGATTAAAGGTACCACCACTACACCCAGCTTCTTTGAGAAATTTTAAGTTGCTGGGTAGAGAGAGTCCCAAAAGGACAGTCCTTTGGGTCCTGGTGGGAAAGCTGGTTTCAGTTTTGTGGCTGTCACTATGTTCTTTCTTCAGTGAAGGAATTGTACCTATTACCTTTGCATGGACTAGGAAAGATCACGGAACTACCTACCCCGGCCCTACTGGCTTGTAAACCTGTCTCTTCATCAGTAAACAGAATACAACCCTAAAAGCTGAGGGCAGATTCAAGTGCCATATCTGCAGTGAGAGCTCAGCTATTGGCTGTTACTGTTACCATGCATTAAATCAAACTGTGTTGATCAGAGTTGGAGAGATGGCTCAGCATTGGCTGCCCTTCCAGAGAGTAAGGGTTCAAGTTCCAGCACCCACATGGCTGTTCACAATCCTCTGTAACAACGGTTCCAGAGGGGCTGGAGGGATAGCTCAGTGGTTAAGAGCATTGCCTGCTCTTCCAAAGGTTCTGAGTTCAATTCCCAGCAACCACATGGTGGCTCACAACCATCTGTAATGAGGTCTGGTGCTCTCTTCTGGACGGCAGACATACACACAGACAGAACATTGTATACATAATAAATAAATAAATAAATATTAAAAACAAAAACAAAAACAAAAAAAACTAACAGTTCCAGAGAACCATCCCTTTTCTGGTTTCCGTGGGCACCAGGAATGTATGCTACACAGACATAGACACAGGCAAAATACATTTACACAATGATTTTTTTAAACTCTTAATTAATCATTAATCGGTTAATATGCCCCATGTCCATTGTCTATGAATTGAGTATAGCCAAGCATGTTAGGAAAGTTGTAGAGGTTAGCCAAGACTAAGATTCTCAAAAAGAAAAAAGGTAAAGTCGTCTTTATTTGGTCAATAATAATCATAACCGGGGGCTGGAATGATGGCTCAGCAGTTAGAGCACTGTCTGTTCTTCCAAAGGTCCTGAGTTCAATTCCCAGCAACCACATGGTGGTTGACGACCATTCATAATGAGATCTGGTGCCCTCTTCTGGATACAGGCATATATGCAGGCAGAACACTATACATAATAAATAAATCCTTTTTAAAAAAAGAAATTAAGAATCTGATGACCAGTAAGTGTTCAAAAAGTGATAAGACATGGTTGTTACACGTCTGTTATCCCAGCACTCTAGAAGTGGTTGCACCCTTGGCTACGCAGAGAGTTCGAGGCCATCCTGAGCTTTTATAAGAGACCATCTGGGGCTGTCAAGATCACTCTAGTGAGTTGACTCAGGTCAAACCACCTGAGTTTGACCCCTGGAAATCACACGGTGGAATGAAAGAACCAGCTCCCACCAGTTGTCCTGACCTCCACAAGGTCTTAGTGACACACAACAGAAGTGCACACAAATATTAAAAAAAAAAAAAAAAAAAAAAAGCTCCCCAGGCAGTAGCAGGAGGATCTGTCTGAGTTCAAGGTCAGCCTGGTCTATGTAGTGAGTTCCAGGACAGCCAGGGCTACATAGAGAAACCCTGTCTCAAAACCACCCCTCCCCACAAAAAAAGAAAAACCACAAAACAACCAAACAAAAACACCAAACGGGCCAAGGATAATCAGTGCACGTTACGACTCAGCAACTGCACAGGTAAGTCAGTAACAGCTCCCCCGAGCATACTGCCTGTGTTAGCAACAAGATTTGGGACACCACGACTTTTCAAATCCCTCAAGGAACGCCCTGCTCGTCAGCGAAACAACTTACTGGTTGCATCTCTGTGAACACTGAAGAAAGGCTATTCCAGATGTCCTCTAGGCTGATCCTGACACGTTTCCAAAAGGCAAGAGCAGGGCTAGGGCTCGGGCTAGTGGGTGGGAGGATGGGTCTGCGTCTCAGGTGGACAGGGGCCTGAGGAGAGGTGGTGCTCATCCTGGTGGTGGGTGAACTGCAGCCATTGTCAGGACAGAGACTGGAGTCCAAAGGGCACTCCTCCAGGAGCTTGTTGCAAGGGCACTGCTGGTAGGTGCAAGGCCGGTGCTCCGTGCGGAGTTCGTTCAGTGCCCCAATTCGAAGGCGCCCAGAAACACCATGCAGCTTTCCGGCGCGGCTCCTGCTCATGGTACCCGACTTACAGTGGCAGTGCCATGGGCCCCAAGGCATCAGCATCACTCGCAGATCCTCAGGAGATGGCATGGCTGTGGGTGATGCTTTTCGCCACGGGGTCGGGGTGGACCCAGGTGTCGACCACTGGTGCAAGGTGCTCTCGAGAGTCTCGGAAGTCAGGTCCACAGTAGGCTTTGAAGTGAGGGGTGGCAGATCGGTGGTGGTCATCCTAATCTCTCGCTCCTGGCTATTGGCTACAAACCTCCCGGGGGCTGTGCTAACACTCATAGTACTGGAGGTCGAAGTGAGAGTTGCAGGGTAGGTGGTTTTTTTGGCATCAATCAGGGCTCCCTCTTCCAAGGAGCCATCATACTCATTGAAGTTGGACGCTGATGACCGGCTAATACCTGACACAGTGGACAGGAGCTCAGCTGCTGCCGGGGCGGCCAGGCGGTCAGCAGTGGCTAGCGCATCATTATCATCCTCTAGAGTTACCTTCACCTTCCGATGTACACTGTTCCGGTTAATGACGTTTGTGCTCCGGCGGCTGCGGGCTGGGCCAAAGCGGACGCTGATCCGCGGCATCCCAGTTATGTTCGGGGTCGGGTTCGAGGTCGGGTTTGAGGTTGGGTTTGAGGTCGAGTTTGAGGTTGGGTTTGAGGTCAGGTTTGACGTTGGGTTTGACGTTGGGTTTGACGTCTGGTCTTGGGCCCCCGCCGCCCGGAGCCCCAAACTAAGTAGCAGGGCCCAGAGCAGCAAGCAGGCGGCGGGGACCATGGGGTTGGGAAGGTCGAGAGGTAGGCCCAGGCGCCTACCTTCTCTCCCTCCCTTCCACTCTCCACCAACCCTCCAGGTCTCGAGGTCCTGTGAACCGACCAAAAGGGTGCTCCAAGGCACGTGCCACGCCCCTCCCCAAGGCGCGTGCCACGCCCCTCCCCTAAGTGTTCTTCCCCCGCAAAGGGCCAGCAGCCCCAGGGGCTGAGCTAAAAAATCACCAGGAACTCTGGTGAGCAAGAATTCTGTGCCAGAACCGAAAGATGGATTATGATGTAAGAACTTGGAGGAAACTTGTTCGACTTAAATCTCTCATCACAGTTTATTAAAGGCCACAGGTCTGAATTTACTAACAAGGGTGAAAACGCCAGTTTTGGTAGCAATTCTTCCCAGGATCACAGGAGCAGACTAAGGGATTGGCTCTCCAAGAGTCTGCAAGCTGGCTTCTGGGATCCCAGCAGACAGGCTGGCTGTGGTTGTTGGTTAAACCCTCACCTTCCCTCCACCTCCCCTCAAAAGGCTGCTAAGACAACCATCTGGGAAGGATCCCAGAGGTTTTGATTACAGAGAAGGAATATGAGACCCACATGTTTTATAGCTAAAGCAGAATTAAAACCCAGAGCCCTGCTCTTCCAGTACCACACTCGGTCTTCCTTTTGGAAGCCGAAGTGCAAGTCACCCCACATATAGGGTTCCCACCCTCAAATCCCAGCTTGAAGGCAGTGTCCAGAAGCGGGGATCCAGTGGAACTTGGGGGGGGGGTCAGGATGAGATGATTTACAGAACAGCTCCATCGTGCAGAGCATTCACCATCTTGGCCTGAGTCTACGGCCCCTTGTCCAGTTTTGTGTTAGGTGTCTTTGAGCCATGGAGATCCTGGTCCAGCCTACAGAGGGTTGGGGGACAGAAGCCAGGGGAATTAGGAGCTTGAAATGGGGTGCTTGAGTCGCTTTCCTTCTCCGCTCACTGACATACTCCCCACTGGCTACTGTCTCTTTGCTGCTGGTTTACCTATTCATAATTTGTTTTAGTGTTTGTTTGATGCCTCCTCAGCATCTCTTGCATATAATTTTTTATTTGTTCTTTAAGTTTTGTTTACATACCAAAACTAGGTTTAATTTATTTATGAATGTGCACACATGCATGCTGTGGGTTTATCCCACCACCAGGGTCTGGAAGTCAAATTCAAGTTGTCAAGCTTGTCAGCGAGTACCTTTGCCCACTAAGTCATCTCCCTGGCCCCCTTCACTGTTCTTGACAAATATAATAGTGTCCTTAACTTCTTCTCTAGGTGTATGCGGTTTCCCCCTACGTGTCTTAGTTCTTTCTATCTCCCCAGAGACACTAAGAAACAGGACAACCAGCACCCTTAAGTGCAGGACTCACTGTCTGACAACTTCAGGGATGTGGACTTGATCTAGGGAGATGAGTTGAGCCAGCTCCCCAAGGCTGTCCAGAAATCGGATCTTTCGTGTGAACTTGGAACTGAAGAGAGAATACATCAATTATGTTCTGTATCGGGAGACTGCACTGGAGGAGCTCAGAGAAGTGGGGCGAGCGGGATGGCAGGGATGAAAAGGAGTAGGGTACCACCTCCTTACCGGCAGTAGTGACAATAGAGAAAGGGATGTCTGCAGTTGTGTCTTGAACTAGTACCTGATAAAGGGCCGAACCAGTGCCAGGAATGCCTTCACATACCACGTAGCGTGGACAACCACCAGGGCTCGAAGGTTTTTCCGAAGCCTGAGGAAGAATCCAATATGACCTTTATGTTCCCTGTTCTGCCTTAGTCCATGGAACAGGTAGGCTATCTTCAACGCTGCAGGCTCCTCAGTGTCTCTCTTCCAAATTTCTCTGGCAGCTGTGCCTAATCCCCTGATGTGGGAGTGATTTCTTATTAATAAAGAAACTGCCTAAGCCCCTTGATAGGCCAACCCTTAGGTGGGTGGAGTAAACAGAACAGAATGCTGGGAAAAAGAAGCTGAGTTGAGGAGTCGCCATGATTCTCCCACGTCAGACAGATGCAGGTTAAGATCCTCCCTGGTAAGCCACCTCATGGGGCTACACAGATTATTAGAAATGGGTTAGATTAATATGTAAGAGCTAGCCAATAAGAAACTGGAACTAGCCCAGCCAAGCAGTGTTTAAAAGAATACAGTTTCCGTGTAATTATTTCGCGGCATAAGCTAGCCATGTGGGCGGCCAGGTGCCGGGGACGCAGCCCGCCGCTCCTAATTCAACAATCCCCATGACTTGAGCTTGTCCCAATTTACGCAGCCCTCTCTACTCTAAGCTTAGAGGATGATCCTTTCCTAGCTCCTCTGTCTCTGCCACTCAGTTCCCTCCAACCCACACAGATTCCTTCTGCGTCGTTTCCACCACGCAGTCCGAGAGGAAGTTGGGTGTACCTGTGGTGCCTGTGCTCTGAGCACTCTGCTGTGACCTTGGCAGAAGCAAAGAGGTCAGGAATTCAAGGACAACTGGGGCTACACTGAGAATTCCAAGCCAACCTAGGCTACATGAGCCCCTATATAAAATGAACTCCTCCTCCAAACAGGAAACAGCAAAGCTCTTAAGGAGGAAAAAGACCAGCAAGGAGGAAAAATGGAAACGATTCAGGAAGAAAATTAAACAAGGGCGAGATGGCCATGACAGACGTGGTGGTGGTTGGTTTGTTATCCAAGCACTGGGGAGGCAGAGAGGCAGGAAGACCAGGAGTTCAGGGTCACCTTTGGCTACATAGTTCAAGGCGAGCCTCGATTATATGAGACCCTATTTCCAATAAAAATAAATAAATGTCTGGATAGTGGCGGTGGTGGCGCACGCCTTCAATCCCAAAGGAGGTAGAGGCAGGCAGATCTCTGTGAGTTTGAAGCCAGCCCAGTCTACAGGCAGAATTCCAGGACACCCAGGACTGTTATACAGAGAAACCCTCTCTTGAAAGACAAAAACCACACAAACAAAACCAAACACAATGAGGGGAATGATTTAAACATCGGGGATGAAGGAAGAGGAAGAGAAAGCAGTGGAGATGTGGAAGGGAAGTGGCAAGACTGGGGAAAGGGAGAGAGACTGCGGGTGCGGGCAGCGTGCCATGGGGAGTCACAAGGAATCTGAACAGGAAAGCTAAGTGACCTGTCCACAGTGCACTTAGTCCTAAGGGCTAGACGGCCCTGACTCGACGGGCTTCAACAGGAAACACTTCTGAAGAGATGTAGGACAAAGAAAGGAGGGAGTAGGGATGGTGACCCAGGCCAGCAATCCCATCATCCCAGTACTCAAAAGGATGGGCTGGGCGGGACAAAGGGACCTTGAGGACCACACGGGCTGTGTAGCAAGTCATTCTCAGGAAAGAAAGAGGGAAAACAACAAAGAGATCAAATGGAAGAAGAAAACTATAGAAAAATGAGGACACCATAGCAGAGAGCTGTGTCCCTCTTGCCCTGGGGTCTCACCTCCTATCCAAGGTGCGGTAACACTGGCGTATCCAGCCCAGAGGCGGTACCTGGGCCCTGCGTGTGCCTCCACTCAAGTGAACGAGCAGATAATTTTCAGCTACCAGCAGTTCCAGCGTTCCCACCATATACCTGGGGACAACATTGCAGCAGAGGTGTATGCTGTGTGTTCGGGGGCTCAGACACATGAATGCAGAGATTCTCGACCAAGGGTCTTTGCCACTCTCCTCCCTTAGTCCCCCTTACAAGCCTTTTTGGGTTTCCACCTCACCTGAACAAGTGTTCCATGACATAGGTGTAGTTGGGAATGCTGCTTGGGGGTAGATAGCAGGAAGCAAAGAGGATGACAGCATTGAGGCCATCACCATGGTAACCTGGGGACCAATATGAGAAAAACTTACTCAGTTACAAATCTGTAAAGAAACAGTACTTCTACTTAGGATAAGGGATACTGAGTGTTGGGAAGTCAGAAAGGATGCTAAACCTAACAACTGAGTCTCCAGCTACGGAACAGTAGTCAAGCTACCAGAGGCTTCTTTGTGTGTGTGGTTTTTTATGTTGTGTATGAGTGTGTTGCCTGCATGTATGCAGGTGCACCACGGGGAAGGGAAGAGCTTGTGAGAGCACCTGGAACTGGAGTTACAGGCAGTTGTGAGCTGTCATGTGATTGCTGGGAAGTCCAGCTGCTTCGCGGGAGCAACAGGATCTCCTGCCTGCTGGGCCCTCTCAGTGCGGCTGTTGCCACAGCTCATGTTTTCATTTATTGTGTACGTGCACGGATGGGTCCATGTGGGGGTCAGAGGACAACTTTAGCTAGCGGGGTTAGTTCTCGTTGCACCTCTCCCTGGGTTCTGGGGATCAGACCCAGGTTGCCAGGCACGCATGGCAAGCACCTTGACTCACTGGCCCGCAATGCCCAGTCTGCCTCTGACATTACCTCCATGAGAGAGCACTTTCCTATAGGGCTCAATGACGGTCATGTCCACTCGCTGCTCTCGCTGTCCTGTCCGGAACACTCTCCAGCGATGGCCGTCTTCTCCAGCCACGTCCCACACACAACCCCGGCCCAGCCTCTCAGCTGCCTCGCTGGCCCCCAGGCCTTCTGCCCGAGGCAAATCATCTAAAACACAGTGTTGGGGGGGGGGGTGCATAAGGCAGATTTCTTGTAATTTGCTGGTTTGCTGGAGTTTCTCCTCAAATCTTTGTTGTTTGAGTTTCTGAGAGAAGGTCCCACTGCATGGCTCAGGCTAGTCTCCAACTCAGTTCTTCTGCCTCACCTTTCTGAGTGCTAGGATGATTTATTTACTTACTCATTCATTCATTCATTCATTGAGACAGGGTTTCTCTGTGTAGCTCTGGCTGTCCTGGAACTCGTTCTGTAGACCAGGCTGGCCTCAAACTCTCAGAGATCCGCCTGCCTCTGCCTCCCAAATGCTGGGATTAAAGGCGTGTGCCACCATGGCCCAGTCTGAGTGCTGGGATTACCAGGTGTCCACTACTGCATCTGACTGAATATACTATTTACCCTCTCATGTTTCAATATTTCTTATCTTTTATCTTTTTCTTCTCTCTTCCCCAGACAGGATTTCTCTGTGTAGCCCTGGCTGGCCTCAGGGAGCTGCCTGCCTCTGTCTCCCGAGCGTTGGGACTACTCAACGAGCTCAACTTTTTGTATCTTTCCCTAACTTTCCCCTTTTCCTTAGGGTGCTCTCTTGTCTCTCTCTCGCCTCTCTCTTTCCCTCTCTCTCTTTCTCCTCAATCTCAAGCTACCTGGACGGGTCTTCAGTTCACTAAGTAACCAATGATGACCTTGAATCCCAACCCCTGGGATTACAGGTGTGCCTGTCCACGCACAGCTTCTACCAGGGCTCAAACCCAGGTCTCTGGGCATGATAGGCAAGCAGCACTCTGACCTAAGCTACATTCCCACCCTCCTTGGTTCTTTTAGATGAAGTCTCAATTTGTATTCCATGTAGGCATTGAACTTTCAGTCCTCCCACCTTAGCCCGCCCGGAGCTGGAGCTGGGGCTTCTCTGACAGTCTCCAGCTCACACACTCCTACAAGATTCTTTCCTTCTTCTCTTTTTGAGACAGGGTCTCACCCTGTAGCTTTGGCTGCCCTAGGACTCATTGTTTACTGCCCAGGCTGGCTTCAAACTCATTATGTATTAATTAATTTCTTGATTAATCATTTTGTTTGTTTGTTGTTATTGCTGTTATTTTGTGGGTGTCTGTATGTGTGTTTAGGTTTTTGGAAACAGAATGTTTCTATTTATCCTTGAAACTCAATAAGTAGATCAGGCTGGCCTCAGTCTTACAGAGACTGCCCATGTCTGCCTCCTGAGTGCTGGGATTAAAGATGTGTGCCAGCAGCTGGGTGGCGGGGGCAGCCTTTAATGTCAGCACTGGGAGACAGAGGCAGGTGGAACTGTTCAAGATCAGTCCGGTCTACAGAGCAAGTTCCAGGATAGCCAGGGCTACATAGAGAAACCCTGTCTTGAAAAAACAAAAATCAAACAAACAGACAAAAAAAAAAAAAAAAGTGTGCTAGCAACCAGAGCCAGCTCTGGCTTTTTAAAACTGGGTTGTGGAGATGTAGCTCAGGGGCTCATGTTTGTGTGGCAAGGACTTTGCCAAAGGAGGTTGTTTTCAGTCTATAGCCATTATGCGTGACCAGACATCCCATGATTAAACCTTCGTGTCTTTCTTCACTGTCTAGTCCGCGGAAGTCTACACCATAGCAGCCACCATGACACAAACTTTGCCAGCATAACCCAGTGCTAGCTTTTCACACTCTTCCTCCTAGCTCTGTGTCTAGTCAGGCTTCAAGCTTTGAATGCCCCAGGGCGCCACTCCTGACTCACTACCCTCTCTAACCCTGAGAAATGTGACCCCTGATTCAGCATCTCCTTGCTGTCCCTAACAGCCACACAGAGCCTGACCTCCAGCTGGATTACTTCTAGGCAGTGGCGATTTCCTAAGAGCAGGGCACCTTATGTGTCTGTTTAGTTCATTGGGGAGACAAGCTTCCCTTTGGAGCCTAGACTGTCCTCAGAATCCTAGCAATCTTCCTACCTCAGCCTTAGAGCTGGATCACAGGCCTGAGCACCCCACTCCTCCCCCTCCACCCTCTTAGAGCTGGATCACAGGCCTGCAGCACCCCACTCCCCCTCCACCCTCTTAGAGCTGGATCACAGGCCTGCAGCACCCCACTCCTCCCCTCTGTCCCCCCTCCAGCCTTTTGTTCTGATAACCTCAGGCCAGTCAGGTGACATCTGGTGACCATAGTTCCAGCACTGGGGGGCGGGCACAAGACAAGAAAGATCTTGAGTATGAGACAAGCCTGGGTTACAATAGAGATCCTGCTCCTGTCCCAACACAACAGTAGTAAGAATTCAGTCTTAGTCCAGGAAAGCATGGGGCAGGCATTTACTTTTCTTTTCTTCTTCTTTTCTTCTCTTTTCTTCTTCTTCTTCTTCTTTCTTCTTCTTCTTCTTCTTCTTCTTCTTCTTCTTCTTCTTCTTCTTCTTCTTCTTCTTCTTCTTCTTCTTCTCCTCCTCCTCCTCCTCCTCCTCCTCCTCCTCCTTCTCCTTCCTCCTCCTTCCTCCTCCTCCTCCTTTTTTCTTTTGAGAAGAATTTCTCTGTGCAATAATACCCTTTGCTGTTGTGAAACTCACTCTCTAGACCAGGTTGGCCTGGAGCTCAGCAATCCCCCTGCCTCTGCCTCCCGAGTGCTGGGATTAAAGGAACAGGCCACCACTACCTGGCTCTTATTTGTTTGTTTGTTTGATTGTTTGTTTATTATGTATACAATATTCTTTCTGTGTGTATGCCTGAAGGCCAGAAGAGGGCACCAGACCTCATTACAGATGGTTGTGAGCCACCATGTGGTTGTTGGGAATTGAATTCAGGACCTTTGGAAGACCAGGCAATGCTCTTAACCACTGAGCCATCTCTCCAGCCCCCATTTTTTTTTAATCTCAATATTTTTCTTTCGTTAGTTTGTTTGCTTATTTTTGAGACAAGGTATCACTATGTGTCCCAGACTGGCCTCAAACTCAGAGATCTACCTGCCTCTGTTTTCTAAGTGCTGGGATTAAAAGCTTGAACCACCATGTCAACCTTAGGTCTTTTTCTAAACAAATTTCCCCTTCCAGCCCTTGGCTGATCTCCTGTCCGTACTGGAAGCTGTTCCTTTCCTTTCTGAGGAAATGTTTCTGGTCTGTTCACTTAGCTACTATAATTTATTTTTGGGATTATTTATTATTTTATGTGTATGGGTGTTTTGTCTGCAAGTATGTATATGTGCCACATGCATGCCTGGTGCCCTTGAAGGCCAGAAGAGGGCAGCAGATTCTCTGGGACTGTAGTTATAGACAGCTGTCATGTGGGTGCTGGGACTCAAACCCAGGTCCTCTGGAAGAGCAACCAGTGCTCTCAACCACTGAGCCATCACTTCAGCCCCTGCTTACTCTCCTAACATCCCACTCCATCCCATCCCATCCGTTCTCCCCGCCCTACATTTCTGTCCCCTTCGATTTTATCAGCCCCATCCTTGGGTTTGCACCTACCTTCCCATTCAAATTCATGTCCGCTGTCAAGCTGCTCGGAGTCGGATGGTGTCTCCAGCTCATCCACCTCCAGGTCCAAGCTGCCATCCGAAGAGGAAGATTCGGAATGGTTGGGAGAAGCTCCAGTTTTTCCTCTTCCCTCAGTCAGATTCAGCTGCAATTCTGGGGCAGAGAGACGCTTCCGCATAGGGCGCTGGCCACACAGGGCCAGCGTGCTGGGGGTACCTGTGGCTGGAAGACAGGAGGGGAAAATACCCAAATGGAAAACCCGTGCCAGTTGATGGTGATTCAACAGCCCTGTGTGGGATGGAGCCAAAGGCCTGTGATCCCAGCACTAAAAGAGACAAGAGGATCAGAAGTTAAAGGCCATTTTGACTACGAATCAAGACAGAGAGCACCCTGGGCTACATGAGTCTCTACATCAAAACAAACAATTGAACACACAAGGACTTCTATGTACAGAAGCCGTGAAACCAGGTGTGGTGGCTCCCATCTGCAGCTACCGCACTGGGAGGCAGGGCCAGCAGGATGCTGCAAGTTTGGTCTGCTTGTTTCTTTCTATGTGTGTGGGTATTTCTCATGCATGTTTGTCTGTACACTACATGTACACCTGTTGCTCTAAGAGCCCAGGGAGGGGTGTCAGACCCCCTGGTTGTGAGCTACCACATGGATTCTGGTAATCAAATAGAAGAGCAGTCAGTGCTTTTCACTGAACCATCTCTCTGGCCCTGAGAGCTGCCAGTTTGAGGCCAGTTTAGACTACACGTGGGCTAAGAGTAGAGACTGTCAAAAAAAATACCTCAGGCGTGGTGGCACACACCTTTAATCCCAGAGCCCATGAGGCAGATCTCTGAGTTCAAAGTCAGTCTAGTCTACAGTTGAGTTCCAGGCTAGTTAGGGTTACATAGGGAGACACTGTTTCAAACAGACAAAACAACAGGAACAAAAAACACCTAAAAGAAAAATTTTAAAGGAGCTAATACCAGCTAAGCAGTAGTGGCACATGCCTTTAATCCCAGCACTCAGGAGGCAGAGGCAGGCAGATCTGTGTGAGTTCAAGGCCAGCCTGGTCTACAGAGTGAGTTCCAGGACAGCCAGGGCCAGATAGAGAGACCCTGTCTCGAAAAATCAAAAACAACAAAAAAGCTTATACCTGTGAATTTGAGACAGAGAAGAGACACAGGGCAAGTGGAAAGGAGAAAGAGCAGTGCAAAGGACAGAAGCTACACAGTAAAGATTCTTGCCTAAAAACAGCCCCAGAAGCCGGGCGGTGGTGGTGCACACCTTTAATCCCAGCACTCGGGAGGCAGAAGCAGGTGGGTTTCTGTGAGTTCCAGGATTGCCAGTACTATTCACAGAGAAACCCTGTCTCAAAAAAACAACAAAACAAAACACCAAAAACAAAAAACAAAACAGCCCCAGGAGTAGAGTCAGACTCGAGGTCTAGTTCCCACTTGCCTTGCCCTACCGGCCTGTGAGTCTCTCTGAGGGTCTTCGGGATCTGCAGCTGAGCCAGCCTCCTCAGGAAGCAATCTAGCACATAGGGATGGAACAGAGACTTAGCGGCCAGCACCCAGCAGGTGTCCTCAGCTTTCTCGCTCCACCACGACTGTTTTCTTCCTTGCCTCTTCCCCTCCCCTAAAGATTTTGTTTCTGTGGCTACGTGTTTTGCCTACTTGTTTATCTGTGCACCACACATGTGCCTGGCGCCCTTGGAGCCCAGAAGGTGTCAGATCCCCTGGGACTAGAGTAAAGAATGGTCCTGGGTCACTATGTGGGTTCTGAGAATCAAGTCTGGGTCCTCTGGAAGAGCCACAGGAAGGCAAAAGGCTCTTCCCTTACCTGGGAAACTCCTCGTCTTGCCACTCTTCCCTCAGCTCCAGCTCTCCGAGTCTCAGGGCTGCTCCTGGCTCTGCGGCTCCTGCCTTCTCCCCAGCCCTGACATCAGCCCCGGCCCCCAAGAAGAAAAGATTGTGAGACAACCTATTCAGTATCCTACGGGGCCAGACAGCAGGTGGCAGACACTAGCGGGAAGAACGTGTCACAGAGGACACTCGTCTCCATATACAGATATTCTACCTTTTCCACTCGGCTGAATCAAACCACCTACGGATGAGTTTAGCAGAGAGGCAGGGCCATCAGGCAATCCCTTTGCCTCTGTGGTAGTGACTTCAGCTGCAGTGTAGGCACGGAAGGCATCCCACACCACAACTGGCGGGAGCCCAGACAAACCTGGCCAGTTAACCCTGAGAAAAGCACTAGGAGATGGCACCTGATCAGCCCCGCCTTCCCTCCACTGTGCTGGGAAAATGAGGCAAGTCTTAAAGACAGGGAGAAAGGACAGATTCACTGGGAAGCAGAACCCGGGTATAAATTCAGTTCTGGCCAGGCGGTGGTGGCACAAACCTTTTTAATCCCAGCACTTGGGAGGCAGAGGCAGGCGGATCTCTGTGAGTTCGAGGCCAGACTGGTCTACAAGAGCTAGTTCCAGGACAGGCTCTAAAACTACAGAGAAATCCTGTCTCGGAAAAAAAAAAAAAGAAAAAACTTCAGCTCTGGCCCAGATTTCCATTCTAGAGAGTGGGGGTTTGATAAGAAAGAGAAAGGTGGTCTATCCGATGTAAGATAGGAACTTTCAACTGTGGAACTGTTCCATTCTGTACACGTTCCTGCCTCAAACCACCCTGTCCCTCCTCTTTGAGCTCTTCTTTGAGGAATCCGGGAAGCCCTGACTGGTTGGAACCGCCCTCTCTGCCTGTAGTCAGGGCCCTTACTCACCCTGCTCCTCCTAACGTCAGTCTCCCCGTTTCCTGCACAGTCCCCATCTTCCTCGGCGTCCCGAGTTCTCTCAACACTTTATGAAGGGTAGGAGGCTGTGACCCCAGCCCCCACCACTCTTTCCTTTTCTGTTTCAGCTGTTGCTCTGGCCTCTAAGGAGGTGTGGAAGGGAGGCAACCTCATCTTCAAACAGGTTTTGCCACCTCCCCTCCCAAGGAGCAGGTCTGCCCCAAAGCCCAGCCTCTCGTGTGGGGGCGGGCTTTCGGGTGGAGAGTGAGATTTCTAGGGTGGCCGATTGTTGTTCTCCAGTCCGGATTCTTCATGACCTGGAAGTCCCTTGTTTCGCTCTTTTAAGGGGGGGGGGGTGTGCTGGAAAGATAATTTTATGTTTTTGCATTACTGGGGAAGCCTGAAGCTAATGATGGATAAGAATCTTTCCCAGAAAATCTGAGGCCGGGCTACACAATTGAATCCAGAGCTCAATGATTGATTCTTCTAGTTTTAGCTAGCCAGCTTAACCCCAGCAATTCCCCAAGAGCTGGACGCACAATCTGCCCAGCCTTTGTGTGTTCTGGAGATCCGAACCTGGGTCCTCCTGCTTGAATAAGTGCCTATCCATAAAGGCAAATCCCCAAACCTTTATTTTTCAGTGTCTTACATTCAAACAGAATGATGGGGGGAAAGTGTGGGTGATCTTTCTGCCTCGGTTCCTTAGGAGCTAGGTTTTACTTTTACTCCTCACCACCGCCCCCTTCCCCCCAGAGGGTTTCTCTGTAGCTTTGGAGCCTGTCCTGAAACTAGCTCTTGTAGACCAGGTTGGCCTTGAAATCAGAGATCCGCCTGCCTCTGCCACCCAAGTGCAGGGATTAAAGGTGTGCACCACCACCACCTGGCTGGTTTAACTTATTTTTAAAATATGATTTAGTGTGTATGACATCTTGTGAGACTGGTACTCTCCTTCCACCTAAAGATCAACTTCAGTTGGTCATCTTGGCACTGAGTGCCTCTGTCCACATCATCTTGGAACCCCAGCAGGTAGCTTTTAAAAGCAGGTCCCGGTGAGGGCTTGTAACCTCTGCTACTCAGGAGGCTGAGGCAGGACTGCAAGTTCAAAGCCAGCCTGGGCAATTTAGGGAGACCCTGTCTTACAAAGTTAAAACTGGTCAGTGGTAGACTGTTGTAGAATATTATTTTAAGGTGTGTTACTTTTATTTATGCTCAGAACACTTGTTTAATGATGCAAAGATGTGTTTGACTAAATAAAATTTACCGGCAGTCTGGAGGCTGAGCCAGCAACTAGCTGACGGGAAGGAGTAGGGTGGAGCCAGGTGGTAAGAGCTCAGGGAGGCTAATTAGGTGAGCTGCGCGCTGTTCAGACTCCAGGGAGCAAGATTCTACCTCAACCTTCGAATCACGAGATCTTTAGGGGGAACGGAGACTTAGATAAGTTCTCTCTGAAAGTGTGGTGCCAGAGGGAACAGAATTTCCTCAGGCTGCGCTACTTGTAGCCTGGCCGCTGGTAGCGGCAGAGCTGTGGTTGCTGACTAGGACAGCCGTAGCTTCAAAGGCAGCAACCATTAAAAAGAGGACAGCAGCAGAACACGGGCCCAGCATGCATGAGGCCCTAGGTTCAGTCACCAGAAACACACACGAAAGGCTAGGAATCATTCTGCTTTAAGTCCATCTTGGACCTGCTTTCCCAGCATGAGGAAAAGAGAAGACAAGTTGGGCATCTCACATTGCAGCTCAGCAAGGGGAGGCTTCCGCAGGAGGATTGCTAAGCCTTAGAGGTTAGCTCCAGTTGTTTGATAAGCAAGGGCAGTTTGGGAGAGTGTTTCAAAAAAAAAAAAAAGAAAGAAAAGAAACAAAACAGGCCAGGTCATGGTGGTGCACGCTTTTAATCTCAGTACTAGGATGGCAGAGGCAGGTGGGTCTCAGTTTCAGGACAGCCTGCTCTACAGAGCGAGTTCAAGGACATCCAGGGAGACAAAGAGAAACCCTGGTCAAAAAACAAACCAACAAAAACCAACCTGAGGCCATGACGGAATATTTTAAGCACAGCTATGTGACAGAAATCACATAGGGAAGGTTGAGTCAACAGAGCAGGAGCGAGAGAGGGGTTTGTTGGAGGTGGAGCCACTATCAGAAGAGCACAGGGAGGCTAGCTAGGTGAGCTGCATGCTGTTCACACTCTCCAGGCCCGATTACAAAAAGAGACAAGACCTCAAACAGGAAGAAAGTATTTAATACAAAACAAAAATGCAAAACAAAGTACCAAAGTCACAGGACACAATCCCTTTGGTTGTGATCGCACCAATAGTTCACGTTCCCAATGGCTTACAGACATCATACCCTAAAGTGAAGTCGGGTTGCCCCAAACCGCCACATCCTACAGTTCATCAATATTGTTTGCAATTTAAATGGGGTAAGAACAGGGAAAATAGGCTGGCCGGGAAAAAAAAAAAGGGGGGAGAGGGAGAGACCACACATGCAGACCAGTCACTGGGAGAGAGCTTGCTGCCGGGTCATGATGTATCCCTGTACATGCTACATGAGGCTAAGTCCCTTGGTACAATCACAAATAAACACACACAATCCAGCAACTCTGAGCACTCCCAGGGAAGACAGCAGAGGAGGGAAAGGCTGACATAAAGAGGGGGCAAGTCACAGGATACCGGGAACATCTACTCCTAACCCTCATTTACAGATAGAAAAATGTCTCACCAGAAGACCCACCCATGCTTTCTTTAACATGAGCAACACCAGAAAAGATAGACGAGAGCCTGCCAGAGCCACTGAGGCGGGAGACATCCATGGCGCAATCGAGTTCTGCCCTCCTAGGGAAAAAAATGCCTACAAGGTACGAACAGCCTTCCTGGGTGCTCCATGAAGCCAAGAACCTCTTGATGCTCCCGGTCTCCTCAGGCTTCCTGTGACCCTGGGACAGAAGCAGGCAAAGAAATAGGAAGTCCAGCCACAGGTGCAAGATGAGACACGAGGCTGGCAGTGGTGGCACACGACTTTAATCCCAGCACTCAGGAGGCAGAGGCAGGCGGATCTCTGTGAGTTCGAGACCAGCCTGGTCTACAGTGAGTTCCAGGACAGGCTCCAAAGCTACAGAGAAACCCTGTCTCAAAAAAAACAAAACAAACAAACAAACAAAAAAAAGATGAGAGACTAATCAGGTATGGTTGGTTATACATGACTACAATTCCACTCAAGAGGATTAGGAGTTCAAGGCTCGCCTCAGACACATATAAAGTTCAAGGCAAGTCTGGGCTACATGGGTCTCTGTCTCAAGAACTTTTAAAAAATGAAATGGAGAATTCAAGAAGACAAGTAGTTGGTTTCATGACAGATCCATGGGCCTTCTGAAGACACGGAGATGGGGTCTACATTCCTTCAGTCCCGCTCTGCTAGGACAGTGGCATATCACACCATACCCATCAAAATTCGAACAGAGGAAAATCAGTGCAGATCAAATAATAAAATAATAAAACTTGTCTGACTGGTAGAGACTGGCTGGGAGAGGCAGGAAGCCATTCTCACAGCAGCTGCTTTCTTCCCTCCCAGCTTTAGGAGAACAGTACACCAGATCCTGGAGCAACAGACACGCTTGCTGAAATGGTCAGACATCTCCAAACATGCACCTGAGGTGGGCAGCCACCTCCGCCACTCTCCCCACCCCTCCCAACAGTCACTTCTTTGATGGGGAGACTCTGGCCGACTGGGACAGCGAGATCTGGCTGCACTTCTCAAAGACAGCCTCGGCTGACAGCTTAGGCAGCCCCTGATCCAGAGGGCACTCATCCACCAAGCTGTTCATGGGCGTGGGGGGCAGCGGAGGGTCCTCGTCATCCTGACTCAGTCCAGCCATCGGGGAGTTACCTGCCCTGTCCAGTTCCTTGTCCGCCTGCTCCCTGGACATTCCCACTACCTCAGGCTGCCCCGGAGGCATCTTCCTTGAGTCAAAGTAGGCTGAGAGGGCTTCCTGGAGCACAGGCAGAAGTTTCTTGCGAGAGACCTGGGTGTTGCCTTGAAGGTAGGCCTGGAGGTCAGGGAAGAGGCTCGGGATGGGGGTCAGCCTCAAGGCTGGGGAGGTGGACTGCTCCAGGACGCCACAGATCTGCAGGAGACAAGAACAAGGCTTATGCTAAATTTGGCACAGCAGAGAGCTGAGGTTTCTGACAGAGGGAAGAGTATTCTGTGTCACTGCTGATACAGGGTCTCACTGTGTAGTCCTGGCTGGCCTGGAACACACGCAGACCCACCCACCTCTGCCTTCTCAGTGCTGAGGTTACCTGTGTGCCAGCACCCCCAACTGAGGTGCCTGGGATCAAATCCAGGGCTTCAAGCATCTGGCAAGCAAGCTGCAGATGATTTACATTCCCAGGCCGCCTCTCCACCTCCCTTTTTCTTTTTTCTTTTTCTTTCTTGACACAAGGTCTTAACACATACCGCTACCCTGGAACTTACCAAGCAGCCTAGGCTGGCCTTGAATGCATTGTAATGCCCCTGCCTCAGCTTTCCATGTGCTGATATTGTAAGACACACAGCATGGCTGGAACATCTAGTTAGATGACATATTCGAAATCAAAGTACACAGAGGTTTTCTCTCTGTCTCTCTCCCTCTCGACAGGACTGTCATCAAAAGCAGTGTTCTAAATGTCTTACCTAGGAGGGAGGGAGGGGATGGCAGAGTAGACAGGAAAAAGATCCTATCTCCCAGCATAAAGAGCATGGGTAGCTACCGTCATCAGAGTGGCAGAAGGGGGTAGGTTCCGGAAGATGGGAGGATACTTTCTTATAGCTGAAGTACCTTCCCTTAGCATGGTTGGTGAGAGTCACATGAACACAGACTCTGCCTCAGAACGCACTTTATGCTGACGGCCACGGCAGACTGCAATGATGACACTTACTTGAGTCATTGACTCTAGTCCTCTGGCTTAGCTCAAAGGGCAAGTGGGCAGGAACCCAAGACAGAAATCACGTCTACCTGATTATAAAACCTACTTCTCTCCATGTGCCAGCTACCCTACACAAGGGGAGGAAACAAAGGAAACGTGGCAGCAAAGGCAGACACTCCTCTCCCGGGTGCCACAACTTCTAGCTGGTGCACTGCTGAAAAGGGTCCTACTGTGTGTGCAGGGGTGGGGCGGGGCCCCCTTCTCCTCTCTCTCTCTCTCTCTCTCTCTCTCTCTCTCTCTCTCTCTCTCTCTC